TTTTGAACATGAATCAACTAATATAAGGATTCAAGCAAAGACTAAACAATTGGATTGAGATAAGTACACATGAACCATATTATTCTTGAACTCAAACTGTAAGACATACAATAATAGGTCAAATGTGACATATCAAATCCTCAGTAAAATAGGTCACTAACTTGAGGTTACATGTACTGGAGTTACTTTATTTGTGACCAAGAGGTTCTGAGCTTGTAAGTGCTGGTCTTGACACTCTGAACTACTGAGTTAAACTAAGTAACTGTACTTCTTTTATAAGGAAGTGAACAATAGCAGAAAATTCTCTAAAATTTTGGAAGTTAGGTGTGATCATTCTAAAGGAAATTATTTATGATGCAAATCCTTTGTGTATGATAATTTGGTTATCATAGGAAATAGTTTCTGAAGATGTAATTCTAAAATTATAACAAAAAATAAAATTATTGCAATGTCATGCACAATTGTGAGCCTGGTCACATATATACAAATGAAGAGGCAGTGTTAAAATTGAACTGAAAAGAAGCCTAGTTTCAACATTATTGGAGCCGAGAGGATAGATGGATAGAGGAATGGTGAGGTTCTTGAGCTAGCCACTATAAGTTGTTATTCCTCTTACTTTTATTATCATTATTTTAATCATTATTATTATTATGACTATTTGTTACCATTTAATTATTGGGTACTCAAAAAGATGTGGGATGCAGTAGTAGTAGCCATATCCAGTCTTAAAACTGCCTATTTTTTTTACTCCAGATGAAAACACAAGCAATGATGAACTGGGTGGACCTATCTTTGCTTCATCACCAATAGTACATCAAGTAGCCATTGTAGCAGGTACATGTAGGTATATTTTCCACACTTTTTCTTTCTGGAGAACTGAAGTGTAGGTTAGCATTACTGTACCTTAAGGTACATTATGTACCTTAAGGTACACCTCCTATAAATTTTTGCAATAAATTACATGCAGGATTGACATAGATTAAACAAATACTGAGGTGAAATTCATAACAATCAGAGCAAAGAAAGATACAGTAGTCATGTTTTGCATTTCATTTCATTAGGGATAAGTGATTTTAGTTAAACATGTTTCAATAATAGCTGAGATTTACAAGTCTTATAGTATTGTATCCATCACTTCAATGAATATAGTACACACTACTGGTTCATTTCAGAGCTTTGTGGGATATATCAGATGTGTTGGGAACCTGCTATCAACCAGTGTGCCTCCCTTCAAGGCAGCAATTTTGATAACAGTGGTAAGTATGTAGGCTTGATTACCAACCTCTGTTACCGAACATTATTATTATTATTATTATTATTATTATTATTATTAGCTGTTGAGACACTGGTGGTTCTCCTGGTGACCCACATGATTATCAAGCTGTATCCCAAGGAAATGATCATTTTCCATTTTTTCCCACTTTTACCATGAAACAGCAGTTTATTAGACAACAAAAGTCGGCTCTCAATAAGTGATTAAGGCATGTAACCAGCTCAAACAGATTTTTCCATAGCTCATTGTCAAACGCAAGATTGTCTTGGAAAATAAAAGTTAGGAAACAAACACAAATTAACTGTTCAACAAAAATGCATGCAAAAGTAATATGTTTAGAACAGAACCATCCAACAGAGACACTATCATTTCCTCAGTAATGTAATGAATTGACTGTCTTATTTGCATAGCTTGTGGGAAACATCAACAATCTCAACAATCAAGTGATGATGTGGAGATCATGGTGATGCACCCCACGTTAACTTCCAACAGGATGATAGTTGGAAATATGATAGCAGGTCAGTGGCATCTGAGCATCCAATTTGTCGCTCACATTGTATCCTGTCAAAGGTATCTGTACCTTACACCCAAGGGATCTTACAGGGGTATTCTTACATTCAGGGGTCTTACAAGGTTTTTACACTAAGGGGTCTCACACTTGGGGGTTCTTACATCCAGGGGTCTTACACTGTGGGAAAAATTAAAACAGACAAACAATAATGAGGAAACTAAAAATACCATCATTGGCTTTCTGGATAAAGCACTCATACACCGCAAAGATAAGCAATATGAACTATAGGAAACAAATGTAACTTTATTGATGTAAACAGCTACTGAAAAGAAATCATGATGTAATTTTTTTCTTTTTGTAGAAAATAAAAATTAATATACAAACAAGATTGAAGAAACTGGAAATACAATCATTGGCTTTATTTGAAATGTATTTTTATAAAGTGGTGCTTTGAATTACATTTTATGAATGCCATTAAATATTTCAGGAGGCTTTAGACAGGGCCAAAAGCAAATCACAAACAGAGGAAAGAGGAAGTTTAAGCTACTTTGTTGTATATTTTTAAAGATTTTTTACCCTTACATGAGCAGAACATCAACATGGTACATTAACATATATTACTTCCAAATGATTTTCTAAATCTTGGCATGTCTATTTCCATGTATTCTCAATTCATTCCCTGAGGCCTACAGACCTCAAGACTGCAAAATAATGCTCTGGCAATTGAATTTATTAACAATAAATAAACCAGATAGTATCTGAAAAGAAGTCCTTCCAAAAATCCACATCAACAGAAATACATACACCAGTATATTATATGTATAAAATTATTAGTGTCACTAAAGGCATCTGTTTTTGCACTAGAGTGATATGTGGCTGTATATACTGCTATTACAGTAAAACAGGAAATTGGGAAATTATCACTTTTATGCCCCATGTTAATTGTCTACTAAATTAAACTAATTCAATGTATTTTACTCATATGGCAGGCTGATCTTGGTGAAGGGGAAAGTTTGGATGAAACTGTGGTGGACTCTGATGAGGTAAGGATTGTCTGTACTTCCTTGAAACTGCCAAAACTATGGCTTAACTGGCCAAAGTGTGAAATTGGGCTTTGATTGATCCGGTTGTGGCTTTTAGAATCCTTGAAATATCTTTGCCTGCAATTGACATGCTCAACAATTGATGTTCCTTAACAATTCTAATATGTGGACAAAATCCAGCAAATTCACCTGTACAGTGAATTTGTCCTTCCATGAGTTTCTAAGTGTTGATCAAATGCCAATTTCCTCATTGTACTGTGCATTTGAACTGCATGTGCAGCACTGCAGGGTAATATCAGCAAAGCAAGGTGACATTTTTAGGGTTGAAATGATAATTATGATGGTTCCTTTGCAGCTCTTTGAACACTGGAGAAATTATTCCCTTAAGAAGTCTTGGGAAATAATTATGTGAATGTTCTTTAATGTGAGTAACACTGCCATTAATCATTCTTGTTTAGGTCAGCAAGAGAAGGCTTATGGAAGGTTTTGTGAAGAGGTAATTACTTTTTATAATGTATTTGAAAAATGATCCACTGCAAGTCTTTTGTCAGTGAATAGTAAACCTTTCATTTGGAAAACAACTTAGAAGACATAGGTGATGAAAACACGAATGAGTAAAATGTGATTTTTTTATATTTTGTAGGAATCTAATTCTATAAATATCCCCATAATAATGAGAGTGACTGTGATAAAGACAATAGAATTGTAAGTATAATCAGTGGTTTGAAATGAAGCGTAGTTCCAATTTTAAAACATGAAGGAAAAATGATTGAACATCTTTTGAAGAATTTTTTTTGATTAAAACATATTTTCTTTTTTCTGCAGACTTTCAAGAAAAATTATTTGTATTGTTTTAGTAACATCTCAATTGTTCATCTTAATACATTTTCATTTCTATTTCATTTTTAATGATTTGTTCTTAATAAGTTATTATGGATTGATTTCAATACCCATATTGTAATTCATATTTTTTAAGCAATACAACAATTTAAGTTGTTATACAAGTTTTAGATAGGTTTTATTCAAGTTAAACTTCATTTTCCCTCCTTGATGTTGTTTTTTCTTCAAAAAAAGTTCTTAAATCTATTGTCAGTAGTTTGTCTATTTGCATGTATTTTAATGCTGTCAATACAAATAGAATCAAAGTGAATAAGGTCCAGATTTAGGCAAATATAAGTGTATTCAGTATCTCTCATTGAACAATAATTTGTTAATAAATTTTGAAGAAACTTTGGAAACTTATTTACACTGACCTTTTTAAGTTATCATAATTACTTACTAGGTTTTTTCCAATCTCTTTGCCTTTTGCTTGATAGACTGTGAGAATTAGCAAGTTTGCTACTGACAATAATTATGATCCCAAAAGGGTTTTTGTGCTTTTCAATATGTTACAAACAATGAATTTGAAGATACATCATTTTCATATGCATTTTAAACTGTTGTAAATCATAATGTTAACCTCTCAACAAACGCATGGAAAGTTTGAAACCACTCAAAGGATTGTGTTGAACTACTGGTCCTAAATGTGTATCATATTTTAAGGGGTCTTCAATCCTTGCTTTAAATCTTGGGGTTTTGATCTGTACCTTAAAAAGAGTTGTAAATTTGTGGTTTACGTTGGGGGGTTTTAACCCATACCTTACATCCAGGGGGTTTAAATCAATACCTTAAAGTTATGGGTTTTAAATTTAGGATTATTATCAGTAATTTGTGCCTTCCATTCAGGGGTTGTAAATTTGTGACTTACATTTAGGGGTTGTAAATATGTACCTTACACTCAAGGGATCTTACAGGGATATTCTTACATTTAAGGGTCCTACATTCAGGGGTCCTACAAGGTTCTTACACTAAGGGGTCTCACAATTGGGGGTTCTTACATCCAGGGGTCTTACACTTTGGAGTTCTTACAATTGATCAGGGGTCTTACAATTAGGGGTCTTACATTCAGGGGTCTTACATTCAGGGGTCTTACACTCAGGGGTTCCTACACTCAGGGGTTCTTACACTCGGAGGTCTTTCATTCAGAGGTTCTTACACTCGGGGGTCTAACACTCAGGGGTCTTACATTCAGGGGTCTTACACTCAGGGGTCTTGCACTCAGGGTTCTTGCACTCAGGGGTCTTACACTCAGGGGTCTTACATTCAGGGGTCTTACACTCAGGGGTTCTTACATTCAGGGGGTCTTACATTCAGGGATCTTACACTCAGGGGTTCTTACATTCAGGGGTTCTTACACTTGGGGATCTTACACTCAGGGGTTCTTACATTCAGGGGTTCTTACACTTGGGGATCTTACACTCAGGGGTTCTTACATTCAGGGGTTCTTATATTCAGGGGTTCTTACACTCGGGGTCTTACACTTAGGGGTTCTTACATTCGGGGGTCTTACATTCAGGGGTTCTAACACTTGGGGGTCTTACATTCCGGGGTTCTTACAGTCAGGGGTCTTACGTTCAGGGGTTCTTACAGTCAGGGGTCTTACATTCAGGGGTCTTACATTCAGGGGTTCTAACACTTGGGGGTCTTACATTCAGGAGTTCTAACACTTGGGGGTCTTACATTCAGGGGTTATATATTCCGGGGTTCTTACAGTCAGGGGTCTTACATTCAGGGGTCTTACATTCAGGGGTGTTACATTCAGGGGTCTTTCCTGGTTGACAGTCGTTGAAAATAATTTCAACAAAGGATGTTTCACCATGAATTCAGATAATTTTCATTCTAAGCTTTAACTCATATGTGTCTCTGATGTTCCCCAAGGTCCCCTTCGTACGTTAAGTCAGCCTTTTTTAAATCCACCCCTTGAAGAGTCCTAAATACTGTGGAATGCCGGCTGATGAAACTGGGAATCGTGATTTACCATTTCGTTGAGATAGACTTTTTACAAACTGGTCATCGTTTTCGTACAAGTCAAAAAAAAAAAAAAGAAAAGATATCATTGATGTCAGCCCTCGTGCATTTCACTCTCAGAGTTCTGCGCGGGGGCGTTGCGCGCTAACATAACATTTTTTGTTCTTGCTAAATTGTTTGAGGGACAGACTTCGCCGAAATGGAGAGTCTGATACAGTCTAAGATAGTGATTCGTTGATAATATATGTCAAAACAGATTGATTGCGCAGCTGCTGTAGAGACTAATTCTTATAGTGAGTACCCTACCGCTCGTTATAGTCTAAAATTAGGGGTTCCATAAGTTTGAAGGGAGATGATACTCCACCCGCACACACATTAGGTTGTCTTGGTTCTGTTCACAAGTTCCTAAGAGAATCCATCTCATTTTCGATAGAATCACAAACAACGAGTAAAAGGCAAATTATTGTTTTGCAAAGTACACCACGGAGATTTTCATTTTCACTTTCACTAGTTGCTATTATTTACTAGGTTGCATATGCAATCCACACTTGTAGTGAACTGACTGATTCTTCCTTTCGGCCAATGGCCATAGAGTTTTATGTAAATTACAGATTTCCGTTTCGCAAATAAGAAATTTCAAATTCACAATTACAGATTTTGCGGTTATGAGGTCAGAAATCCAAAAAGTTTCGTACATGGAGAACAATCTGTTCGATTGCACAGGGTAGCCAATTAGAACACAGTAGTCGCTTTATCTTACCCACGGGCGCTGCCAGATGAATTATAAAACGAACTTCTTGACTGAATGAGAGGGCCGAACGCGAAGATATTTGGCTCGAGGTCATGATGTTCTTTCATGAACGAGGGCAAAATATCTACCTTCCATCCCTCCCACTCAGTCAAACATTTTATCATATGACCACTAAGTGTTGAAAATTTTAACCTCAATAGGACGCGATAGACAGGCACATGCAGCTACAAGAGAACAAAAAAAATCTTCAATTAAAATCTTTTCCTTTATTTATTCAAGTAAGAACAAGAAACTCGCACTTGCTTGAAAAACGCGACTATTTCTCAATTCTGTTTTCTATTTATTTTCCTTTTGAGTTTTTGCTGCAAAGTTACGTTGGGGTACCAGGGCTTTCTCCGAACCGGCTCACATCAATCCGTCCGGCCTTACACACGTCAGCTTTCACTATGATTTTCTATGGGATTGCGCGAGCGGGGCTGGACGTGTCATATGATTAGTACAATCACATGACCATAGTTTCATCAAACCCATTATCACTTCGTGCATTGATTCACAGCAAAGAAACTCGGTATGCCGTGGGACAAATACGGTTTGTGATCAGGCAAACCATTGCAGTTCTCTGCATTCAATAGGATCGGAGAAAAACGTCTCCAACAGGTCAAAGCGACTTTGTGTACCTCGATGCCGTAATGTGTCTTTGCCTCTTGCGCTTTAACGCGTTTTGTAGGTTGCGTAAAGCGCGAACATTTCTTTATTCACGCAGATGGTCGAGGAAGGACAAAAGGAAGAGGAAGGGGCACGGAACAGAGAGAAACTGTTAGTTACTTATTACACAAATAAATATGATTTATGGAATTCATGTTGCTCTTTGTCTGGTCTCTTTGAACGGCTGCCGTTCACAAAATTTAAAAGCACTCGAGGTTTGTTTCCCCGCGACTCTATGTTGGCGATAGAAATAGGATTTTTTTTCCAACAAAGCTTTAAAAGTGCACTAGGGCCGGACGACCTATTCCGTAGAGGCTCACGTCAACCCATCCCACCCTACCACGTCAGCTTTCACTATGGTTTTCTATGCGATTGCACCAGCCGGGCCGGACGGGTCATATGATAACTATTTTACCACAATTGGCGGTAATATCGCAGTCTGATTAGCCATTTTTCCGTTGTCGATTAAAGTACAAATAATACTGCTTGAGTCAACCTGTCACACTCTAAAATAATTTGCAATGGAGCGAGACTGAACGCCCTAAACCAAGTACGTGCTATACGAGTTGAAATGGCCGTATCTAGCTGATACACGCGCCATACTTCTCATGTATCTTGAAGTGAAATGCAAGTTATCGGTTCAACTTTTGAAAAGCTTAACATTTGAACCGGGGATTGCGGGAAGCGCTACGAGAAAACACGACCACCATGCCATGGCGTGCGTAAGTGCAGTAGGATGAATTGTGTAAGGTCTATGAAAATTTGATTTCATGCCCTGAAATGATGTGGGAACCTAACGTGGCCCAACCGAACCTTCATAATAGTGACTCGTGATAGGCATTCGATTCGCCTACTTCTCTTCAAATTATTAACGTGAAATAATGAGCTTCCATGAAAGCAGTCAGCCAGCAAACCCAGGTTTCATGGGTTACAATTTCGACAGAGACGGAATTCGGTCTGCCCTAAGAAACGAGTCGGAATATAAGGAACTACTGGATTAATCACTTTCCAGTGGATAAATGTACAAAACCTACTACATTATGCACCAATTGCAGTTTATTTGGTGAATGGAATAATCTACTTCGGAAGAATGTTAAAAAGAAGAACCACATCAAAATGACTTGAGAATGCTGTAACTTAAAGAATCAACTGACTCAATGTTAATCACCGAAGCCGTGTAAGTTTTAAGGCCTGGTAGGTGTAGTTGATGAAGGTCCAAAGAAGTTATAATTGAAGTTCTCGCAATAGCAAATATTAAAACATAGTAAAACCCTAAAGCTGCTAAAGAAGCCATTAACGAAATGGCGAAGTAAAATCTAATAACTGCGTACAATTTAAAAAGCAGTCCTAAATGAATGTCTTGGGAGGACAATGACTAAAATTGCTCCAAAGTTAACGTGACAATGATGCCTCCTTCATGTGTACAGTTTTTCTTTTTACCTCTGAAAGCGATCAAAATCAAATTAAATCGAATCAGTAGTTTCCGATGATAAGTTTTTAAGGCAAGTTATTCATCAATCGCCCATCTTGCACAAGGAGATCATATTTCATTCTAGTGCATCTACCGAATCTTCTTCTACAGCAGCCTCAAAATTGTCTTTTGCATCGACCCGATTTTCTCGCAAATCCTTGGATTTCTTGGCTTGCATATGAAGATCAAACCACAAAGAAAATAGTTCAAGATCTTCACAAAATTCTTCGGCGTATTTAGCATTTAAAAGATGATTAATCCGATCCAAACTCGCCAATATCTCAGCTGCCTCAGGAAGAATATCCTCCTCGATCTCCGTGCTCGGTGTATCATGCCCAGAAACGCCTTCGCTCGCTCTCGGACGATTGCCCACGCAACCCAATAGTTCTTTCACTTTCACCACCATGAAATGTCCAACATCAAATTTCCCTTTGGAGAGTTCCCTGATGCGGCCATAGTTATAAACAAGAATAGAAATGAAAAGATTGATGCATATGAGATTCACTGCCATTTTTATCGCCGTAACGTATACGGGGCCAATGATTGTGCAACAATCGTTAAAATAGTCGACTCTGCCACCAACGACTCCTTCGACTAGAAGAGACTGCAGAATGTTGAAAGGCGAAGAGAAGGAGTAAAGTTCGCTTCCAAACAGAAGGTATCCTACATGGATACATCCAAACGTGAAGGCAGCGAATGCAACCGAGCAGTGAGCGAGTTCCCGAGCAGATCCTTTCATCACATGAAATAAATGCCTCACGTGGGAATTCAATTTGAGCAAATAGAGCAACTTCAAAGTGTTCAAGAATATCAGTAACGATATTAATACCGTTTCCAGGTCTTGCAGAAGAACACCTCTATCGAAACTGATAAACTGAAAAGTTTTTTCTCTGAGTTTTGCTGTGGTAGCAAAGAGCTGTGTTTCTTTCATAATGTGAGAAATAAGAAAGCCAATGACTGCAAAAGTTTGTGTAACTTCAACCCAGTTTAGAAACTGAGAGAAATACATTCGAAAACCTGCTATGACATTTCTCGTTTCCTTGACAACAAAGTATATAATATATGCCACCAGTAACAATTGACAAGTAACGGTAACAGCACTGTAGCCCCCTCCAATGTCATATATGTGCAAGGTATGAATAACGTGATTAGAGACCACGAGACCACTTGGTGAAAACTCAGTAAGGATCCAAATCACGCTGAACAAGTTCACTTGAGAGTTAAAAACTGCGAACTCCAAAATTAATGCACTGGTAAACCTGTCAGTCCAATTAAACAGGTTTAGTTCGGAGATGACATTCAATGCAGTTGTTTTGTCGTAGCCCAACTCAGCCAGGTAGCCTCCTTCTCCATAAAAGTTAGACAGATGAAGTCTACCCCACAATGGAAGGCTTGATGTTTCTTGGGCTGACGAATAATGCCAAGCACTTGGACAGACCTGATGAAGACTAATGAAGGACTCATTCTTGGACGAGGAAAATAGACGCCATCTTGTTTCATGGAAGCTTGTTTTTTCCTCGCTACTGAATGTATATGAAACCACACATGAATTGAAATAGGTGGCCAATTCCTCTATGCCGACATCACAAGGACCTAAGTGCAAAAGAGCATTCAGTTGTTTAATCACTGTGAGAATTGACATAGCGTGCTTGAACCGCGTCATAAATAAATGTGATTATCGTTATAAAGGAAATTATCTTTTTCGCCACAAAGAAAGTGAGTGAATATTGTTGAATGGGTTTTGCGCAACTTCTATGAAGAGCATTTTTTGTCTTTTTCTTTATTTTGTAACTAATAAAATCAAACTCATAAACCTTAGAATAGGCTAACTCGAGGGGATAAGTCTTCGACTAGTCCCTGCAACCACGATTGTGCCAATAGTCCATCCTTTCATGTGAACTGCTTTTACAGGTTGGTTTAGACAAGTGTCTTCACAAACTTAAAATTGAGATTTCCTTCCTGAACTATTAACGCAACATTTGCAGCTGACCTTTAAATCGGTGAAGTGGACGCAATTAACACAAGCAGCATTTTGGTTTGATCTACATTGAAAAACTTTCTTAAAAATACCTTCTTTAACTCGTAGCTGCCTCAGACGAGGCATCCCAACGAGGACAGCGTCGCCATCTCCAATGTAAGGACTGGAACTATTCAGAATGACTTTTTTCCCATCCTCAAAAAGCCCTGGTACCAAAACGTCACGTGCCCAGTCCCATGTGTTGAAGTGATTCGATATCTACATGATTCGGCGGGGCAAAAAAAAGAATATATAAAAAATGTAAATAAAAAACATACAGACCAAAATACATAGATATTATGAATATATAAATAAAAATACCATTAAAAATGAAATGCACTTAATAGTAATACAGTCGTTGACTGTGATGTATCAGATTACAGTAACACGGCAAATTAAAGGCGATACAAAAGCAATTCTCCTTCTTCTCTACTTTCCTACATGAAAAAAAAAAAAAACTGTAACCCCCACATGACTGCTTTCATTAAGGCGTCATATTTATACTCTCGTTTCAGAGCAGGCGGCTGTAAGACCATAAGATTATCCAAGAATGACCACTGAGCAATTCACATACCATGTTTAGCTCTCCAAACGTATTCTTCATGGATGATGTCATCAGGTACCCATGCTTACTACGGCCACCGTAGCAAACAATCATAAGAATCAATAAGTAAAGCATGTAAGACCCTAAATTCCGAAAGGCTGAGTATATATATATCTCTCTTAGCCGAGTCTTCCTTGCACGACGTAACTGTTTCTTACTTAAAGGCTTTGGTATTTCAACTTCTTCGTTGTCAGCCTCATCATTGCTTAGCCCACCAACTTTAATATCGTCGAGTTCAACCTTTGGGTCGGCTGGGCGAGTCATCCACGTAAATTTGTCAGTTCCTTCTTTGAATATAGGGGGCAATATGAAGGCAACAACGATGATTTGAACAGGTTCGATTAAAAATATGTCTATAAAAATTGACGTTGAAACCGAAGCCAGCCACTGCTCACTTGTATCTGCACCCCACTGTAGACTATAGAAGACGACAAAAGCTGCCGCACAGGCCGAGAGGAGAAAACATAGGAGCCAAGGAACGAAAACAAACCGGTGTGGAAAAGAAAAAGATTTCCTTTCTGCGCTAGCTTTGAGAGCCATTTGTTTATTCTCATCCACCGATCGAGTATGGACGAAAAGTCCTACGGTCAAAACATAGGTAGGAAAAATTACTATAAGGCTCTGTACTCCAACGATGAATTCTTTGAGGTTCACATCAAAACGACCCATCCTGAGAGATCCTTGAGTGTCGCCCACCACTGTTCCATGCTGGTAAAACATAGCACTTGCTAACATTGAGGTTAGCAAGAGTGCCAGACAGCAAGATAAACGTTGGACGCGAGTAAAGCGATACCTTGGTGGTCTGGCTGCTACAGAAAACCAAACATGTGAGTCACTGAATTCTTCCGCAATTCTATTCAGAACATAAACCGCAAAGTCAATTCCTTTAGCGGTCGTGGAAGTAGAGTGAAGGGTGCGGTCTATCAATCCTTCACCTTTGTCAACAGCCAGCCACGCAAAACACATAAAGTTCCACTGCTTCTTAGTAAAGAGATCGAAGACCTTGATGTGGTTCAAAAACCACGATGGACTGGTGCCTGAGTTGTCATGCCATACGCGGACAGTTTTTATGGGGCCAATGTCGTCAGGAATCGAAAGAATAAAGGAGATAATACTCCCTCTTGAGAAAGAGATGCAAGAGTCGTGCTTTAAATGGAATGGTCGGCTGCCACCTAACTCTCCCTCTAGTGTGATAAAAACGTTAGCAGTTGTGCCCGAATTACGCCAAATGCCCGTAGATACTTGAATCTCGACGAAATAAGACAAAGGTGAAGGAACTCCTACGACTGCACTCTTACCTACCTGGAGGGATAAAAAAGGAAAACTAGTTAAATTATGCTCAAACTGTACACAACCATAACTGTGAGAGAAGGGAAATAAGAGAGAATGCTGCTTATTTGCTACAGACACAAAGAGGGAAAAGCACGCCATATACACCTCCATCATAAGCTTCCACTTGACTTCACAATTTTTTTTCTCTCTTAGCCTTCTTTTTACACAGCTGAAGTCAACTATAAATGAATCACAGCCTGGTGTAGAATTTCTGCAGCGTTCCATTTAATTCGAACTGTGTTCCACGAGCGAAGTCATCTTCAGCTTTCGTCTGTCGCACAATTTTATTGGTCTCTTCCCATTCTCCGCCTGGGCTCAGTTTTTCAGAGAGCGGATAACGCTACCCAACGGATAAATCACTATCCAGCGGATAACTGTTAACAACTGAAACGTACTGCACTATCCACTGCATAGTAATTTATCAAGCGGATAACTGTTAACAACTGAAACGTACTATACTATCCACTGGATGGTGATTTATCAAGCGGATAACTGTTAACAACTGAAACGTACTGCACTATCCACTCGGTAGTAATTTATCAAGCGGATAACTGTTAACAACTGAAACATACTGTACTATCCACTGGATAGTGATTTATCCAGTAGATAGTGTTATCCACCCTTTGAACAACTGGGGCTAGATCTTTTGCTTCTGAATTTGAATTAAAACTGTTTTTCTATATTTTTCTTTCTTCTCTTTTCCTTCGAAGTCCATTCGGAAAATGTAAAAATTATATAGTTCAAACCTTGAAAAAGAAAAAACAGACTTTCCTCGTGGATGATTTCCTTGCGACAACACTTGGCTTATTTTCATAACTTAAACTTAATGAGATCAATTAGCAGCCTTCTGTCAGTCACTTGTAGCCCGCCGAGCATGAGTTTACGAGCAATCAGTTTTTCTGTTTGTCCTGGCGTACATTGATAACGATTGGGCTCTAAGTTCTCACCTTCATAAGATCGCGTTTGTCATTCTTTCGAGCCCACATCAACAGCAACAGATAAAGTCCAAACGCACAGCTAATAGTTACTATAACAGCCGTGTTTCCACTATCAGGTAGACGAGCCAATTCCGTGAAAACTATATCAAAATCAATGGGAGTGGGTGCCACTAGTAACTGACCTCCAAAAGCGCTCAAGTGGTTACAAGAGCAATGAACATAATCTTGAGTCGTCATCTCGGTTACCTGGGAGTAAATGGTTTACACCAACCACAAGATAAATGGGCAAGTAATAGAGCGTAATTGTAGGTTTCAAGCTCTGTAGTTAAGATGAGACTAAAAAAATACAAAACTACATAAAGACAGTATAAACAATTCAAAAACGCGTTTTACACAGTTTACAACTATGGTCACCATAACTTGTCTCATCTCACCCTGCATCCCTCTGATGTCCACTGGGATATTTCTGCGTTCCAGAACAGGCAGGCAGCCGGCATTACCTGAATTGTGTAATTTTCATCACTTTCACGGTAGTGGGGTACGCTGTAACTTGCACCATCAGTGGGCGGTTCCTTGTATCGCACACATGACTGCTTTGAGCAACGCCGAACTCGAGAGATCGCAGAAACTCGTGACACGGCTTTTAGTCCAACAAAGTAGTATCCAAGACCATTGTTCTGGAAAAATTCCTGGTTCACAAACAACATATACGGATCACGTGAGCAGTTGAGGTACCCATCTGGCATCTCATCGCAAGATGAAAGGTCAGGTATTGTAACATTAAAGTCGCTACTACTCAGAGACGGCTGCCTTCCATACTTAAAAGTTACCACAAACTCTGTCTTGTTGCTTTCCGGACGAATCTTGAGCATCAAAGCCATTCCTAATTGGGAAACATTTATCTTATAGAAAATGGTTCTGTTGGCTCCAATGTAATGAGACTGAGATGTGTTTATGAAGACCTGGAGGTTCTGAAGTTTAATGGTAACAAGTGCATTCAGTTTTGTCGCATTCAAAGGATGCCCAGAACTGTTCCTTAGTTCAAGGCTGGAAACAGCAGTCGTCACTCTTGCTCCTGTGGGGTCCCAAGAAAAAAGTGTAAAGTCTGCTGTTACCATCTGTAGACATAGAGAAAAGAATATAAAGGTACATTTTCCACGAGAATCAAACAGTTGGTTCGAAGCAAGTCACAAAAAATGTTGTGCTCATTCATGACCTCTTTCGCCGTAGTTGCCCGAGTATTACGTTTTTAGAGTTCGCAAATGGAATTTCTGCTTTCTCAAATGACAAGTGGTTTGTTAAGCGGTTAACAAAGTCGTGCAATCTTGCGCAAAGTGACGTCACTTTCTGGCGGCCGGATTATGATTTTATACGTCACCGAATGGCGACTCTGAAAAGAGTGGAGCTTGGAGCGCAGAAAGAAATTGCATGTTTTGATGAATCTGTCCAATACTGAGTTTACTGCCCTTTCGCCATTATCACCATGATCACTCAGCGGTGACATCGAGGTAGATTCGTACAACAAGACACGACTATATGGACAATCTCCTCGCAAGTCAAACTGCCACACTTTTGTTAGGAGGTATAACAGCGCGTTCTACAACATAAATAACGGTGAAATATTCAAAATAAGGTTGTGTTCTGTGCACTCTGATAGTTCTTATACCTACCTGGCTATCTAAAAAATGGGTATCATTGTCTAACTGGAAGGGTAATGAGGTAAGCTGAAAACTGTTTCCTTTGTTTGACAGAACAGTCCCAGTGAGCAAATTGGGCTCTTCTCGGAACACTAACAGAGACATGGCCTGGGCTGGAAGTTGTTTCGGCTCTTCGCCAACGAGAGTGCGGGACAAGATCGTGCTTCCGACATCCTTCAAAGAATGGAGTATACTTTCAACATGGATTCGAGCCTGAAACAAAATTTTAACGGCTTTCTAAATTTCTTTGGTAACTTAAAATGCCGGTCTAATTGCTAGAGAGTTAGCAAGAAATTAGAGCGATCAAGATTGGAGCACTACCTTTAGAGGTAATTCAATTTTATTTTATAAGACTCCCTTAGCCGAAAAAGAAAAATTGAAAAAAAATGCGGACAGTTAAGCAAAGACATACAAGGCAAAATAATGCTAATGATTAGCACTATGTTTGGAAAAGAAGAAAAATGGTCCGGTTTAAGGAAGTCCCGTCTGTTGTGGAAAACAATGAAGTTGGGCTTCGGATTTATAACCCGTCAAATATCCCTCTCAATCCCTAATATCACTTTTAATTATATTCATTTTTCTGATCTATTGTTAGTTAAGTTTTGAACTTGTATTTCAAAACAGTTCTTCACCTGTAACTGCGCACCATTAGCGTCTCTTTCGGTCCTTCTGGTCCACAAATATCGCAAAGAAGTTCTCTTACGTGAGAGTGATTCATACTCATCTACAAAGCTGGCTTTGATTCTGAGACTCCCCTGTGATTGTAAATTATATACTCTTGCTCCACATGCTGCTACCCTTAGCACGCCACCGAGACCATTCACTAGACTTTTTGCGCCATCATAAAGCGAGTCGTAACTTTCCCCAGCTGCACTCTCCGCCTTCAACACTGAGGTCATCTTTTCAAGCGCATTCGTTGCATCTTCCTGAAAGAAGTTCAAAGGACCAGAGCACTAAACGATTTGTCTCTGATTTTAGCTACAAAAGTGGTCCTTGTGTAATAAAAAAAGCATTCCTTGGTTACTTAGCTACCTGTGCTTCCACGGTAACTTCGTCAATGACCGAACTGGCGGAGGCGATCACATTTGAAACCTGCTGAACTCTGACGATAGTTTCTACCGGGATAGCTGATAACTGTGCTATGATGTTAGATTTCATCTATAACAATTAAAAAGGAGAAGAGGTGAACTGAAGTGCTCAAAACATACTGAAAAGAATCAAATCGAATCTACAGTTTTTAGTATGTGTAATACGTTCTAACGGAAGTGTCAAAATTGGTTAAATGAAATAAAATGAGAGAACTTAAAAGACAACTGCCTCTTCCCAGAAAGCGGTGCGAGATTCGCAGAAGCATTTATTTCATTTGTCAAATTGCAAGTTTGAAACATCGAGCTAAGACGGATAACCTTGAAATTTGGTATAGGTTTGACCCCCTTTTAGCCATCGCTTTGCATCCATCGTTACTGTGAGCACACTATAATACCTCATAAGATGCATTTAAGCATGGTCAATTGCATTACACTAGGCTCAAAAACCAATGATATCTGTGGAGAGAGCTAATGTGTGAGTGTAGGATTGTTCGCAGCAAACCCAACCCAGCTGGCGAGACTCCAAAAACAACTAAAACTTTAATGGTTGGGCTTCTTGTCAGAGACAATTCAAGGGTGTTTTCAGGCGATATCTCTGGACTGGACTGGAAGAGTTTCATCACAAAAAATCCTTACCGTGCTCCGTCTCTCTGCCAAACCACGAGCTTCACTTTCCGTCAATTTCTCATCTGCAATGACATGAATGGCTGAAATGGCCGCCGCTGTTAATAGCAGAGCACGTGACACGTCACCCGACTGAATCAGATTATTCAGTTCACTCTCATCTCCAGTTGTGAGGTGTTTGACAATGTCTAGGAGGTTTGTTTGTTCAATGTTGGGTTCTAAAACCTACAATTAAAAGGAAGAAAGCAGTCTATAAACACTCTACATGGGCTACATCTTGCGAAGATAAACAATGTAGATTGAAATGAAAATCATGGAAAAAGCAGGCGATTAATGAGAAACGCTGTTTCTTTGCTGTTACCATTTCATACCTGCACAGGAATTCTTACTTCAGTGTATGCCCCCATAATATCAGCCACTCGCACTCGAAAGTCTATAGTAAAGTTATTTTTTCTTTCTCCAGCAGGAAGTTTGGTTGTTAAACTAGTTTTTACTCCTTTGTACGCCACGTTAAGAAGATTGTTACTTGTAAGGTAAATAAATTCATACTGCAACTGAAGGTCTGGATCCTGCCAATTACTACAAGCAAATGTAAACTCTGTTATTAGAGTGACTCCTAATGTTTGGCTCACGTTGCATACTCCTCCAACAGGCAGGCTGTTTGAGGTGACGTGGTACTCGGAATACACACGGTATCCACCTGGTCGTTGTGCAGTCAATATGAACTTATACCTGGCATCGGGTGTCAGCACTCCAGGCCTAGTAACAAGAGATTTTGATGAAACTCGAGTACTAATCAACTCTTTTATTTGTGAAACCTCAGCCCATTGAGAACTGTTTGAAGAGTTAATTAAGTCTTTTAAAACTGTCCACTTGAAGATGAGGTTACCATGACATGAGGCACCTGTACACATGCCTTGTAAAGCCATTCTACCAGATGGGTTCAGCTTGGAAGCGCAGTTTTCAACACACCTGTAGGTCATTTAGGTAACGTAGTTAAAACAGATTAACTTCTTCTCTTATCAAAACCAAATTCTGCACTTTGACTACAATGAGATTCACAGTTGAACCCATAGTAATGACCGCCCCCCTACTTTGACAACTTTTTCCTTTTTCAATGTTTCTTTTGCAAAGGTGAAAATATATCACAAATTATACACAGGTGACTCTAAAATATCACAACTGCTACAACAGAGTGTAACATTACATATCATATCAATGTATTTAGCGATGTGTTCCTCCTCCTTTTTTTCAAAGCTGAGTTTCTCTTCATGCAACATTGCCTTCTCCTTTCTGGCACCAAAGAAACAGAAGACTGCTCCGCCATCTACAATTTTTCTCATTTATAATTTTCCCTACAATTTCATTACTCATGCGCACTAAGCGCATGAGTCGTAAATTCTCCCTGGTTTTTTCGTTTTGGTGTCACATTTGTTATGCTAATTTATGCAAGGATATATCTTGCACGATGTTGATTTTCTACTTCGGCTCAAGATTTATCTTGAGCGAAACTGAAATTACCCTAACCAAAACTGAACCCTCACTAATAAGCAAATCCTAGCATTTCTAATAACTACAAAGTGAAAATAGGGAATAGTTTACAACAATACAGGCAAGTCGTTGGCATGCATCATGTCAACAAATTTCGAGGATGCTTCAAAGGGAAATTCTGGTGCTCCATCGTACTTTTGTTTTGTTCAGAGGTGGTATATTTGCTAGTATTGAAAAGGTTGGTTCACATCTATGGAATGTCGCTGAGGAATCCCCGTGGCTTACACAGATATATTATTTGTATCGCTTTTGATTCGATTCGCAAATGACGTAAGACAAACCAAGGTCTCGCTAGTTTTTATGATATTGATGCCAGTAAAACAGTTTGCGTACTCTATTCACAACCTATCCTCGGAGACCTAGGGGCTGTGGGTCGATTTCAAGTTAGGGCATGAAGAGCCCCTGAGGACATTCTCTTACAAGACTAGTCCCAAACGGTCGTAGTCATTCTGCCATCTGATTGGTGCCAGAAAATCTTTGTGTTTTTCTGCCCAATCAAAGTGAAGTGTGCTTTGGAGTCCTTTCGTGTGTTGTAACACGGACAAATACTAGTAGCTCAGTTGCTCGCTATGTTTGTTTGGGCCGTGCGACGGACATTCGCTTGAGGTGAAAAGTTTCAGTCTCAGCACACAATGTAAGAGAAATCGATCAGATTGTCCGCGAAAATCTTACCGGAAATTATACTGAATACTTTCCCAGGTATCACTAGAGAACGTGTTTTAAAGTTTGCGAGGTTTGTAAACAACACGATGGTTGCAGTCATTGATATGTCGCTTTAAACGTTAAACGAGATTTAAGCTTAAATCTTTCTAGATTTTTTGCATAATTTGCTGAGACTGAAACTTTTCACCTCAAGCAAATCTCCGTCGCACGGTCCAAACAAACATAGCGAGCAACTGAGCTACTAGTATATGTCCGTGTTAAAACACACGAAAGGACTCTAAAGCACACTTCACTCTGATTGGGCAGAAAAACACAAAGATTTTCTGGCACCAATCAGATGGCAGAACGACTGCGACCGTTTGGAACTAGTCTTGTAAGACAATGTCCCCAGGGGCTCTTCGTACCATAACTGGAAATCGACCCACAGCGCCTGGGTCTCCGAGGATGTTCACAACCTTAAATGCTATTTTTAGTCGTTGCAAACAAAACCTTAGAAAAATCATACGCTGTGACTAAATGCACAGCAGCCGGGCATTGTTTCAAATTAGACTAAATGCCCGGCAGTCATAAATTTTCACAAAATTTGGTGGAAAAATTCTCCGAGCATTTCCATACTACAATATCGCTCGGTCGTCGACACCACAGGCGGCCCAAGCGTACTGTGTGTGATTTTGGGGTCTAAAGTTCATCAACGGCAATAACTAACATATTAAGATCGAATTTTAAGCGTATGTGTGGGCCCAGGCGGTGTACGCAATCTGATTGCGCTGCATCATGGTTGTAAAACAAAAATTGAGTTATTTGCATCTTGACGCGTTGGAGTGAACATCTCTGGTGGCAGCGAGATACGGCGTGAATATACGTGGATTGTTGCCATTCCTTCGAAAGTTAAACGTTTGACGGACCTGCGCGACTCCTGTCATTCCTCCGTGACGAATTCGTTCTTAGGAGGCAACTGACGTTATTTTAAAAGTAAGATTCGAAACTGCAATCTGCCTAAGAATCTCGACACAAATGGCAACAACAGATGGCGGGATGAATAATTTCAAAGTCAGCAATTATATTCCTAGACGCGAGATATTCAGCAGTGAATTAACCCTTGACATGCAAACGCATATTAGAGAGACAGACCTTGAACGTATCTCTGGAGTTATTACTTTAGGAGAGAAGTATACTCTG